TCGGAGGGCCCGGGCACTCCTTTATTTAGGGTAAAAAAAGTCACAGAAGGAAGAAAAGCTGGCAGGGCAAAACAAAACTGGGGTGCCCCCCTCCCTCCCATAAGGACATTTTGCAGGAGCCACTCCAGAGTTACTCAAACTCGCACTCATACTCTGATCTTAAGTTTACTACTAAAGTTATTGATTGAAAGAAAACACGCAGAAAGAATATTAATAAATTTGTGAAATATCCATTTGAGTTACCTATTAAGTGCTTTATTTCCTTCTCACTCCTATCTTGTGGAAAGTCCTCATTTACCAACATGCACTCTAAAACATATGTTGCATCAAGAAGAGCCTGAAATAGCAAATGAATCCATAAACGCACGGGTAGAGATCATCAAGCCCTGTCAAAGACCTTTAATGATACAGATAATTTGATGGCCCTAAAAAGGATCTTGCTGGGGATATCTCAAAACATCAACCTTGATATATGAGGATCATGCTGTACATTATTATTTTTATAAAGATCTCAGCAAAAATCTCTACTTTTATTAGCGACAATTCTTGCAAAGAACTTTGCATGATCCTTCAAGATCCTGAAAGGTTTTATGAGGATTTTATAAGGACCTTCAAATATATCATTGCATAATCTTTGAGCATCCTTGAGGACTGTTCCAAGACCATTATGGGTAAACTGTATATGCAAGATCCTGCAAGAACCTTTAAGATCTTAGGGGTACATGTATATAAGATCCTCAAGGATCATCCTGAAAATCTTTGAAGACACTTAAAACATTTTCATTAAACTTTCAATAAGCCTTGCGCAGAACTATATTCCAAGAGGATCAATATAATTTTCACAAGTTATGCTATCAATGCACTGTATGTTGTGATATAGAAGGAAGAAGGAGCAATCCAACTGCTAGTCTAAAAGAACTGCCATTCTAATGCCCAGTTCTTAAATCTTAACATTTCCAGACATATACATGCCATCTAAAGAATATTTTTTTATCATGACGATCAGCCACACACACACTACTGTAAAATAAAGGAATACTACACCTGCGAATATTGCTGTAAAATTTTGCTAAGCATCCGTTTGTTTGCTGCTACATTCTGCCTTTGAATCAAATCGACAACAAAACCACTCAGAATACACCATTTCCCTGTTCTGTAAGTATTAGAAAAAGAGTTTGACAAGAGCGCTTGTCTGGGTTAGAGTAGTTCTGAACAGGGCCGTCAGCTGTTGGTGACTGATGTTTTGAAAACCTGAGCAAAAGTCATCTTCAGAGCCAAGCAGAAGGGGAAATCATCCTGACTCTAAAGGTAACTTCCACTCAGGTTGTTGAAAGGCGAGTCACAAAAAAACTCCTTTTCTTCTCTCACCCCTTGACAACCATGCTAGATGAACTACTGATACTTGATGGTTCAAAACATTCTCTATGAAAAAAGGTTATTTGGAAGATCACTAACTAGTATGGGAGCAGAAGTTAAAGGGAAAATATGATATGAATTGCCACAGTCTTCAACAATTTATTGAGCGGCCACAAAATATCCTGCCAACCACAACACACACAATGATTACCCTTTTTCCAAAAGTTGAAGACACATTTTACACTTGCCCTCTGCTTTATCCAACAAATCTAGTTCACCAACATCTGTAAACAGATTAAAATTGGAATTGGAATTTACCTAAGTCTTGTAGTAATCACACAAATATCTGTATAGGAAACATAAATTCTGTGTGTGTTTGTGCTAGTATCTATTCCAACCTCAGTCAGTATCTATGCAGACTAATAATAATTATGCAGGTGCTTCCACTGGAGGCAAAAGAGGTTTGCCCATACAAAAGGATATTTTTAAATAAGAAAGGAACTTATTTCCCAAAGAAGAGAAGTTTCAGTGCTTGGGAACACCAACATGGCCTCCAAAGTATCAATCATGTAAGGTAAGGTAAAGTAAGGTAACGTAACTTTATTTTAAGTCATAAACGTAGGGGGTGGTTGCCCAACCTGAGCCAGGGGCTCGTGACAAAAACACACGACTATTTACAATAACATGACTACTTACAATTACTATATTCACTATAGATAAATTCAGAATTAAAATATAAAATATTCCTTAGAGCAACTAGTCCTAATATTAAAAATTAGAGTTAGAAAAGACGGTTCATACACTGGCACCCTGCAAACTCGACACCATTCAAACGACAACGAAATTGTGCCAAAGTGGTCAAGGATCTAGTGATAGCAGGTAACTGGTTCCACATGTGTGCAATCTTTTACAGAAAGGAGTTGTGCATGACAAGACTGTTATATGGTGGCTGTAAAACATTTAAGCTACCACCTCATAAATGAAAATCATCGATAGAGGATCAGATAATTATGTTGTGTGATCTAACATGGATTCTTATTAAGACTCTAAATAATGAAAATGTATTCCACATCCATGTCCAGGGAGTACCCCTTCCTACCCCAACCATGCAGGTAATCACTTTGAATCAAGCTTCAAGCACTTTTGATTTATCGAAACTTTTCTCCTACACATAAATTAAGGAGAACTGCTTAACTTTCGCAACCTTTTTTTTGTTCCACGTCCATATCCCTTGGGACTAGTGTAGTACCCTAAATACGACGCCCACAGGAACTAGAACAATTATATCGAAACAGCTGATGCTCAAGCAGATGACAATTAGCGTGATTCGTGAAACATTAACGATTTTTTGATAGTAGCTGAGACCTGTCTGATTACTGAGCAGAATTGAGGATTCCCGGGACAGAATTTTAATAGTCACTACAAAGAACGCTGGATATTATATATAACACTCATACTTGCCTGATGTATTCTTTCGGATTTCAAGGCATTCCTCCTGTAGCTCTTTAATCTTTGCAGCAAGTACGGTCTTACAAAGATCGTGAACTTGTTCCGACTGCACTTTACTCTCCGATTCTTCCGCCATTTTATCCTTCTGAGCCTTCGATATTATAGTCAGTCAACTCTCTGTAAACAAATTTTCAGTTCAAGTAAGACACATTATTGTGTTCCTATAACGTGTTTATTCCAACATGGCCGCTGTAATAGAATCCGGCGACAAGGTTCTTCAAGTCATTGGAAATCACGAAAAAGATTCCTTTACGGTTTTCCACGAGATGAGAGAATTTGATGAACTATGCGATATCACGCTGAAGATTAACGGAAAAGAAATTCGTGCCCATCGCGTTGTTTTGGCAGCCTGTAGTTCGTATTTTCGAGCCATGTTGACTACAGGATTTCTTGAGAGCAATTTGGGCACGATAACTCTGCAGGATTGCGAGGAAAACGCTGTTGAAGAACTTGTCGAGTTTCTGTACACCTGCAAGCTGAATCTGAACGAGGGAAACGTGGAAAGTATTCTTGCAGCGGCCGCTCTCTTTCAACTCCAGCTGGTCGTTCAAAAATGTGCAGATTTCCTCGAGACTCTCATCAGGATTGAAAACTGTCTCGGAATCCAATCGCTGGCGATGCAGTATTCTTTGAGTAAACTCGAGTCCAAAGTAGCAAGCTTCATCAGTTGGAATTTCATGGAAGTTTCGCGGGAAAGCGAGTTCGTTCTAATCCCAGTCCAACAGCTGAGTAAAATTGTGGGAAGTGACCGATTGCACGTTAAGACGGAGGAAGATGTATTTGAAGCTGTTATCAGATGGTACAAGTACGATAGAGAAGAGAGGATAAAATGCAAGGTGAGTAATTTTATCGTTATCTTTCGGACAAAAATTCAACTTATTTCCGGTGGTTTCGGTTGAACCCCTTGAAGCAATGGTGGGGTGACTTCCGCCCCCTTCTTACCACCGGAAGTGGCCTATCGATGAAGTAATAGGAATCATCATGGACAGCGTTACATATCCACTTACACAGACCCTCTTTGAGCTAGTCACGCGATCTTTCCTCTAAGCGTCTGCATAGTGGGTGACATGTCACAAAGCTGCCACTTTGTCGAACCAGAAACAAAATTAATTGGATGGTGAATTGAGGGACTGTTTACTGATTTCCAAACAACTAGCCACAATTTCCCAAATTCTTGGGTATCTTGCCTTCCGATGTTAGTTTTTTCCAATCTTTCTACAGGGGATATTTAAGTTGGTTCGGTTTCCGTGCATGAAAAAGGAGTATTTAGAGAACGTTGTCTTGAAAGATGAGCTTGTCCTTAGCGGAGACAACTGGAAGAAGCTAGTGGACGACGCCATTACCCACTTAACTTCTCCGTCAATGAACAAGAAGAAAACAGTGACGAAAAGGAAGTCTCCCAATGTACTGTATTTGATTGGAGAACTTTCCTGTCGGATTGAAACTTTTGACTTAGAGACCGGCAGCTGTAAGCCTGTTCCTAGCATGGCTCAGACAGCAGGAAGCGCTGTTGTTGTAAACGAGGAACTGCACGTTGTGTTGGGAGGTGGAACACGCGTACAGAAATACGATTCAAGGGTGAATTCTTGGGTGCAAGTTGGAAACGGGACGAAGGAAAACGATTGCGCTATCTGCGAGAGCATGAGCTCTATTTATGTGGTTGGCGGTGGAAAGCGCGCGAAAAGCTTCAATCTCGCCACGCGCATATGGAGCACGCTCCCGAACATGAGCATGCGTAGAAGCTTTCACAGAGCAGTTGGACTCCTGGGGAAGGTTTACGCGATTGGTGGAGTAACAGTCCCAGGGGACCAAACCGTAGCCTCGGTTGAATGTTTTAATCCAGCGAGTAACCGCTGGGAACCGGTTGAGCCCATGAAGACAGAACGGTTTCGCCACGAGGCTGCAGCAATGACGAACAAAATTTTCGTCGTTGGTGGACTTGATGGGCGAAAAAATTCATTGAAATCTGCCGAAGTTTTCGACCCAGTGACAGACACGTGGAGCTTCATTGCTTCAGTGAACTATCCAAGGCGTGATTTTGGCCTGGGAGTTATTCAGGACATGTTGTTTGTGTTTGCAGGCGGAGGAACAAATACCATAGAATGCTATGATAGCAGTTCTGATGAGTGGAGCATCGTTGGAAGTCTAGCAACAAGGTGGAATACTTTCCGTTGCGTGCTGTGCCCTTTATTTCAGATTTAAAGTAAAAATACTTGAAGAGGAAGAAAACGGCTACTACAAAAACTTCGTTTTTTACATGTAAATGGTTGCCATTTATAGTGCTATGGTGTTAAGCTATTCACTCCAGGACCCAGTACTGTGTAAGCCCGCTACAATTCTCGACAGAGATGTTGCTAAGCAACATGACGTCAGCTGATGACAACAAGCTGACGTCATACCCTTTGTAGTGATCGTACTATCCCCGGTTAGGCAATAAGTATCGGAAATTGTCTGAGAACCTTAGAGACCTTGCGAAATGAAGAATAAGGCAAACAACATTATTAAAACTACGACGCTGAGGCTGAAGGCGACGTCTTTTCAAGGTGGATCTATTTTCTACATAGAGAACTCAAGATTAATTCAGAGTATATACATTTATGCATTTACACATTTACATATGTAGTCTGCTTCGTGATGTCAAAACTACCTGGCAGCTGTATGCGGAAAGATAACGTCGAAGCGTGGATAAATACACCGGGCGTGTATTATGTAAACTCGCCGTCCAGAATTAACCGGGTGGTCTTGGTGGCGCGTAAGACGATTGCTTAGCGGACCTACTATAGGTTTTGAAACATACATGTACCGTCAAAAAATGTACGAAGTTGTATATTGGACATATATAGCAACCATTCTCATTGCCATTGTTTGAATTAAACTCTGTTGAGGTGTACAACGGGGACGGCGATGACGTATTGCTTTAGTCAACTTACCATAACTTCATGTGTAAATACAAATAATTATATATTTTATTCACTTATAAGTAAAGAGACTGTCAGAATATTATAAGCTTGGGAGTAAAAGGGGTATAAACTGGGGAATAAAGCAGCATAAACAATATGAAAGGTGCGATAATTAATGCGAAGTTTTCCTCTAATTCTCTTTTGTCTCAGCCTACTCTAACTTTCTTCCATGTTTCGTATACACTCCAGATCCTGTTACCTCCGTTCTCCCTGAATCTTTATCCCTTTCTACCAGACTTCTACTACATTTTCATCTTCCCCTTTAACCCTATTACATTTTCTTCTCTTAAACTCCCTGGTGCTATACTGCAACTTCCTCTATTCCCATGTTGCCTTTACTTCAAATTCCCTTTTCTAAACTATCCTCGTCCAATTGCCGTGAATTATTTCCTACTCAAGAATCTCGTGTCTCTCTCTCTTCCTCCACTCCCCTACCTCTAGATCTGATCTGTGACTCCGATATTTACTTATCTCCAGGTTTCATCTACTTAATTAACTTAAGATCTCTTTTTCCCTCACTTAAAGTTCCCCACTCCAAGTTTCCCCACATTTATCTCACTCCAAGTTCGCCCCACTCCAGGTTCTCCCACTCAAAACACCCTCACTACAAGTTACCCCACTCCAAACTCCCTCACTACAAGTTCCCCCAATGAAAGTTCCCCCACTCCAAATTCCCGCACTTTAATTAAGTTCCCCCTGCATTTACCTCACTCCAAGTTCCCCCACTACAAGCTCGCTCACTACAAGTTCCCCCACTCCAAGTTCCCCCACTTTAAGTTCCCCTACTCCCTCTGACTTAATTACCACCGGTGACCCCTGGTCACGTTTCCCGGTCTCTTAGATGTTACTTCTTACTTTCTTACTTTCAAACACTGCTGCATATTTATCTTCTGAGGTTCGCAAAGCGTTAAAATTGTTATGAAGCGGTTTTATTTTGCCATTTTAGCCGTAATGATTCCGAACTCCAAATTTATGCCATTTACTCTAACTTTTCATTGTCCGTTCCTTTAATTATCATTTTCCTTTTGGCTAATGGTTTTACTAGGGGCGTGCAAGGCGTCAAAGTTCTTGAAACAAATTTCGATGTCAAATTTAAATTATAAAGCACTCTTCTTTCCTATTCCCTTTTCCTCGCCGGATGAGTGACGTCCCGCATCGAAGATTTGATAAATAGTACGATGACTGTAGAAACTAATTGAATGCTTTACATAAAGTTTAAATAAGTTTTTTTTTGACATAATGAGCCTTTCACCTGTTCTGTCAGTTTTGCATTACAATTTCAGCCATGAATTTCAAGTACTATATGTTTAACTAATTTTCTTGCAAAATGTGTGGTATACGTTAGTTGTTAACAAACACACACAAAGAAAAAACTTTTACGGCTATTTTTTTCCCGAAAATTGATGACCTGTTAGCAAAACGACAAGAAGGATTTCATATAAGGAGTATGTGCGGTAAAGAAATCTCAAGAAGAGTACAGGCATGTTTATTCATTGCTGCCAATTTCTTTTGTTTTATTTGGTACAATTGACATACTTAGTTTCAGTTTTTTGGGGTTGCTTTCTAATGAAATCTCCACTGAACAGTGAACACATGTCACTGACCCATTCTGCTACTCAATAAACTACAAAATAACAGAGAGTTTATTAAATTTCTTCTACATCAAAACCGTTAGTATTTCACTCAATGTTTGTCTTCGAATTTTCTTAAAAATAGCTCGGTGTGGGCTTGGGTTAAATTCACTACCAAGTGTCTGTTTCTAGTGCCATTGCATACTGAAAATGAATATCTAGACTTGCCACAAGTCGACCGCGAAAGAGAGCGAGCGAGCGAAAGCGAGGGATGAAGTCCCAAGACGAGCGACGAAGTCGCGATTTATCTAATCTAGGGGAAACGGGCTTTGAGAAAGTCTAATAAATACCATATATATCGAAGACATTGTTCCTTTATTTAAAACTGAAAAAGGCCATTAGCACTTAACGGCAAACATGAAATACACAAAAGCAATAACTAAGCAAATTTCACACTGACGAATGATCTTTCGAGTGCAACACTTATCCTGTCAAATTAATTCTGACAAATTAGTTCGCTTTGAACTTTCCGACCGACTTTGTCGAAAATGAAAATTTTATCGACGTTGGTGTTGTTGTTGTTTTTCACGATTTAACAGACAAAACCAATAGTTTACAGTAGCCAGACCACAATATTAAAATTTCATTGATGATTTCCTGCCAACTTGGTCTTCGTTCAACGAAAAAAACTAGAAATAACTTATTTAATAGATGGGCACCATAGTGGAGACCTAAAAGGATAATAGCATTTACTGCCACTATACTCATATATATGCGTGGTTCACGGATGCTATTAAGAAGCGCGAACCTGTGTGCGAAGACGACTAAAAGACATCTTTTCTTTTTTCGATATAATTACTGTTTACCTCATTTGGACTTACGTTGTACAGTTTAACATGTCGCTGTGGTTTTGGATCGTCTGTTTGATAACAGCTACCATCGCAATTGTTGGAAATGCAACTGTAATTTTCGTCGTGTTAACAAGAGAAGCGCTTCGAAGCACGGCGAACGTTTTCATCTCGTCCTTGGCAGCTTCCGACCTGGGTGTTGGATTTTGGACGGTTCCAAGTTCGTATTTTGCAACGCAATACATGACAAACGAAAAGACTTTGGAAGGCTTTGACTTTCTCCATTCTATTTTCTTTACTGCTTCTGTGTTAAATTTATGTTTGATGACAGTTGATCGCTACATCGCCATCGCTTTTCCATTCAAGTACCTAGCGGTTATGACGCGAAAACGAGTAGTATCTCTGGTGTCTTTCTCTTGGTTGCTCGCTATTTTAACAAGTTTAATTCCTTTGCTGTGGATTAAAGGCGAGCAGGAAGAAGTTGAAAAAGCCAATAGCGTGTTCTACCCAACCGTATCTCTTATCTTTGTTCTATCTTCATACGCAATCCTTATACCAGCGACATTGCATGTGTACCTTATTACAAAACGGCATTGTCATCGCATAAACGCTGTAAACCTTCAGCTTAAATTTAACCACAGAAACCTTCAGATCAGGTTCCGTTCTATAGACATCTCTTCATCCAAGTTACTCATCATGGCTGCTATTTTCTTTATCTTTTGCTACTCGGCACAACTTTGGCAAGAAATATGCGACCTGTGTAAAAATTGTTCGTCTTTTCCAGACCTTACAGTACTTTTACTGTTGCTGAACTCAGCCATAAATCCGTTTGTTTACGCTCTGCACAAGAGAGACATCAAAAGAGAGTTTAAAAGTATATTGAAGCATTGTTGCAGCTCTTAATTATTGTTATCCACCTGCTGGTAAATGTGGATAATATTGCGTGTCTGCAAAGAGAAACATGAAGTTTATCTTTGGGTGACAAAGATGCAAATAAAGTGAAATATTTCTTTTGCTATGAGATAAGGATGACTGAATATTTTTAAGCATTGTTGCAACTCTTAGTTATTGTTGTTTACCTGCTGGTAAACATAGAGAATATTACATGTCTGCGAAGAAATATGAAGTTTATCTTTGGGTGACATCATCGCAAATAAAGTGAAATGTTTTTTTTTTTTTCTATGAGATAAGGATGACTTAATTTAAAGCCTAAGTTTAACGATTTATGTATATTTTTATAACATTTTCTTTAATTAGCCGTCCTCGACTGCAAAATTGTTCCCGGGAATCATCGATTTGCCATGACACTAGAGTACAAAGAGTACCGACGTGGTCGAAAAAAAGATATGAAATAATTGCCCTTTTTGATGAAGACTGGACTTCAAGCATTTATTACTTTTCCTTAAAGAGCGTCAAAGCGAGAAAAGAAAAGGAAAAGAAAAGAAAAACAAGAAAAACTAAGTTTTTCACTCCTACTCCGACAATCTCAATTTCGTCTCCAGGACCTTCTCGGCTTTGTTTTTCAAGATGGCGTCTCTTTCTCTTTCCACCTGCAGTTCCATCTTGAAAAATCCTAGAAACGAGGTTATACAAGACCGGTTGAGAGTAAAGGTGTTTATCAACTGATTATATTTTGCTGATAAACAACGAATTTGTGAAAATATTCGTCACAAAAAACTGTATGAGAATGTGTAAAGTGTATTAAAATTTTCCAAGCTTTGTTTCGATTCTGAGTTAAAAAAAAAATTAAATTACATCTTCACAAATTCTGTAGTGTGGACAATACTCTTTAATGGCATGTTATTACAATTTTATTTCATTTCTTTCGTCTTCTTCGACTTATTGACATTTTTGTCGCGAGATGCCGGAACACTCTGATAAATGGACGCGGCATTGTTAATCTCTGAGCCACAACACCCGAAGCCAACACAAGCTTCACCTTCCTCGAAGATATTTCCGGGACATTGGGCGTCGCACTGATCGTCCGCGAGCTTATTCGAGGGAAGGCTGCTCAAACACAGACAGCGGTCAGAAATGGTAGCAGCGTAAGCAATGCCGTTGTCGACACAGTAATCTATACAGACGGAATTCGCATTCTGGGGATCGTTTCTGCTCTCATCTGGGTTCACTCCAGTTATTTCAAAGCAGCCTTCGTGAACAATGAAATTTCCAAATCCATCCTTGCTTGAAGTCACGTGATGATCTGAATGGCGACCTTGAAAAGAGAAAATACTAAAAAATAGTTCGATAGTTTCTGACCAAGTTTTCATAAACATTTTGCTTGTTTTAAGTTCTGTCGGCACGTCACATTTCAGGACAGTCACTGAGTTTAAATACATTATTTAACTTTGTAGCTTTTTTAGCCGTCTTCACTAAATGACAAATTGGCCACGTCAATCCAACTTGAAACTTGTACCTTGCAAGTTCATTTTGCGGTTTTTATGCAGTTTCTTTTTCAATATTTTCAGCTAGAATCAAACGAAAAAGTCTTTCACAATAAAATTCAGTCGCATTCACATGCTATTAGAAGTAAGTCAGTCTGCGGACAAAGGTGAACAGTGCGAACCTGTGTTTTGTAACCTTCATGCCAACATTTATGTTCTACTTGGCCGTAAACATAAAGAAAAAGTAGTTTTTTAGTCCATGAGCTTGCATAAATTCACATTTTTCTTCGCGTGCTAACACCAGAATAGTTACAATGTTCTAGATCAGCGCCAATATTGAAATCACAACACACAAGACACAATTACACTTGAAACAAAGTGTTGCACAAATTATATGTGAATCAGATTTTTCTAGAGATGTGTACCTTTCTTTCCATGTACAACATTTGCACAGCTTGTTAACAACCAAAAGGTAATAAACGCTATTCTAGGAAACTGTAACGACGCCATCGCGATGTTCAGACTGCAAGCTAAAGACTTTGATCTCTATACAGGACTGATTCGAATCGGTGAAACTAAATCAAAGTTGACCGACTGAAGAGGTTAGATATAAAGAGGGTTAATTTGTTGTCGCTGATAATTCATTCTTACCTTATTTTGTTACCAGCAAGTAATGCAACATAGATTTGAACAATTACTATAACCATGAATGGAAGCACAGGTTGTATTTTCCGTAATTGTCGTGAGATTGTCACAGGAATATTTTCCAAGCTAGATGCAATTGAACTTTTCCTGTCAACTTTTTTCATTGCGTTTCACAGGTTTTTTTAAATGCGGAAATGTCATTTTTTTTAACACAAACCTGAACTTTTTCAATTTACAATGGGTTTTTGCTGTGGTTTTGTTAAACTGCATTGAAAGCACTAATGATCCACAAAAACCCAGCCCATCCAGAATTGCTTGGGTTCAGTAGGGTTAGTGTCTGTGACAGAAAGTTGTTAAATACTTTTGAAAAGTGTTTCAAATAGCATCAACATGGTTTTTGCATCAATTTGAGATTTCATTCATAGAAAAATACCTCCTTTTACTACAAATATAATATGGTATTTTGTAAATGCCTTCAGAAATATTGTATGCTCTCAAAATGCCCTCCATAGAATTAGAGAATAACACTTCCAACATAAGGACACAAGTACATTGACATCTACTTAAAATCCACCCTGAAGTTGTTGTACACCCACTCATAAAAAAAGTGCACTAAACAAATGATGCACCAAAAAAAAAAAAAAAAGAAAACTCAGCTACATCTAACAGATGATTGGATCTTTGGCTCCAACTACAAGACATCAACTGAAGTGTTGACTATATATGATGCATAAAAGAGGAGATAAATATGTGCTATAACAATAATTTGACTATTTACAGAGAATGAAACGTGTGTAAAGAATAACCATAAAAGTCCCAGTCGATCAATAAAACTGAATGACTAAAGGTCACCTTGAAAAAGGCTGGCAAAAAATATACGCCAAAGGTCCAGTAACTACACTACTGTACTTTCAGTTGAGTTGAATTACCACTAAAGATGATCATGACTTNCGGATGAGTGACGTCCCGCATCGAAGATTTGATAAATAGTACGATGACTGTAGAAACTAATTGAATGCTTTACATAAAGTTTAAATAAGTTTTTTTTTGACATAATGAGCCTTTCACCTGTTCTGTCAGTTTTGCATTACAATTTCAGCCATGAATTTCAAGTACTATATGTTTAACTAATTTTCTTGCAAAATGTGTGGTATACGTTAGTTGTTAACAAACACACACAAAGAAAAAACTTTTACGGCTATTTTTTTCCCGAAAATTGATGACCTGTTAGCAAAACGACAAGAAGGATTTCATATAAGGAGTATGTGCGGTAAAGAAATCTCAAGAAGAGTACAGGCATGTTTATTCATTGCTGCCAATTTCTTTTGTTTTATTTGGTACAATTGACATACTTAGTTTCAGTTTTTTGGGGTTGCTTTCTAATGAAATCTCCACTGAACAGTGAACACATGTCACTGACCCATTCTGCTACTCAATAAACTACAAAATAACAGAGAGTTTATTAAATTTCTTCTACATCAAAACCGTTAGTATTTCACTCAATGTTTGTCTTCGAATTTTCTTAAAAATAGCTCGGTGTGGGCTTGGGTTAAATTCACTACCAAGTGTCTGTTTCTAGTGCCATTGCATACTGAAAATGAATATCTAGACTTGCCACAAGTCGACCGCGAAAGAGAGCGAGCGAGCGAAAGCGAGGGATGAAGTCCCAAGACGAGCGACGAAGTCGCGATTTATCTAATCTAGGGGAAACGGGCTTTGAGAAAGTCTAATAAATACCATATATATCGAAGACATTGTTCCTTTATTTAAAACTGAAAAAGGCCATTAGCACTTAACGGCAAACATGAAATACACAAAAGCAATAACTAAGCAAATTTCACACTGACGAATGATCTTTCGAGTGCAACACTTATCCTGTCAAATTAATTCTGACAAATTAGTTCGCTTTGAACTTTCCGACCGACTTTGTCGAAAATGAAAATTTTATCGACGTTGGTGTTGTTGTTGTTTTTCACGATTTAACAGACAAAACCAATAGTTTACAGTAGCCAGACCACAATATTAAAATTTCATTGATGATTTCCTGCCAACTTGGTCTTCGTTCAACGAAAAAAACTAGAAATAACTTATTTAATAGATGGGCACCATAGTGGAGACCTAAAAGGATAATAGCATTTACTGCCACTATACTCATATATATGCGTGGTTCACGGATGCTATTAAGAAGCGCGAACCTGTGTGCGAAGACGACTAAAAGACATCTTTTCTTTTTTCGATATAATTACTGTTTACCTCATTTGGACTTACGTTGTACAGTTTAACATGTCGCTGTGGTTTTGGATCGTCTGTTTGATAACAGCTACCATCGCAATTGTTGGAAATGCAACTGTAATTTTCGTCGTGTTAACAAGAGAAGCGCTTCGAAGCACGGCGAACGTTTTCATCTCGTCCTTGGCAGCTTCCGACCTGGGTGTTGGATTTTGGACGGTTCCAAGTTCGTATTTTGCAACGCAATACATGACAAACGAAAAGACTTTGGAAGGCTTTGACTTTCTCCATTCTATTTTCTTTACTGCTTCTGTGTTAAATTTATGTTTGATGACAGTTGATCGCTACATCGCCATCGCTTTTCCATTCAAGTACCTAGCGGTTATGACGCGAAAACGAGTAGTATCTCTGGTGTCTTTCTCTTGGTTGCTCGCTATTTTAACAAGTTTAATTCCTTTGCTGTGGATTAAAGGCGAGCAGGAAGAAGTTGAAAAAGCCAATAGCGTGTTCTACCCAACCGTATCTCTTATCTTTGTTCTATCTTCATACGCAATCCTTATACCAGCGACATTGCATGTGTACCTTATTACAAAACGGCATTGTCATCGCATAAACGCTGTAAACCTTCAGCTTAAATTTAACCACAGAAACCTTCAGATCAGGTTCCGTTCTATAGACATCTCTTCATCCAAGTTACTCATCATGGCTGCTATTTTCTTTATCTTTTGCTACTCGGCACAACTTTGGCAAGAAATATGCGACCTGTGTAAAAATTGTTCGTCTTTTCCAGACCTTACAGTACTTTTACTGTTGCTGAACTCAGCCATAAATCCGTTTGTTTACGCTCTGCACAAGAGAGACATCAAAAGAGAGTTTAAAAGTATATTGAAGCATTGTTGCAGCTCTTAATTATTGTTATCCACCTGCTGGTAAATGTGGATAATATTGCGTGTCTGCAAAGAGAAACATGAAGTTTATCTTTGGGTGACAAAGATGCAAATAAAGTGAAATATTTCTTTTGCTATGAGATAAGGATGACTGAATATTTTTAAGCATTGTTGCAACTCTTAGTTATTGTTGTTTACCTGCTGGTAAACATAGAGAATATTACATGTCTGCGAAGAAATATGAAGTTTATCTTTGGGTGACATCATCGCAAATAAAGTGAAATTTTTTTTTTTTTTCTATGAGATAAGGATGACTTAATTTAAAGCCTAAGTTTAACGATTTATGTATATTTTTATAACATTTTCTTTAATTAGCCGTCCTCGACTGCAAAATTGTTCCCGGGAATCATCGATTTGCCATGACACTAGAGTACAAAGAGTACCGACGTGGTCGAAAAAAAGATATGAAATAATTGCCCTTTTTGATGAAGACTGGACTTCAAGCATTTATTACTTTTCCTTAAAGAGCGTCAAAGCGAGAAAAGAAAAGGAAAAGAAAAGAAAAACAAGAAAAACTAAGTTTTTCACTCCTACTCCGACAATCTCAATTTCGTCTCCAGGACCTTCTCGGCTTTGTTTTTCAAGATGGCGTCTCTTTCTCTTTCCACCTGCAGTTCCATCTTGAAAAATCCTAGAAACGAGGTTATACAAGACCGGTTGAGAGTAAAGGTGTTTATCAACTGATTATATTTTGCTGATAAACAACGAATTTGTGAAAATATTCGTCACAAAAAACTGTATGAGAATGTGTAAAGTGTATTAAAATTTTCCAAGCTTTGTTTCGATTCTGAGTTAAAAAAAAAATTAAATTACATCTTCACAAATTCTGTAGTGTGGACAATACTCTTTAATGGCATGTTATTACAATTTTATTTCATTTCTTTCGTCTTCTTCGACTTATTGACATTTTTGTCGCGAGATGCCGGAACACTCTGATAAATGGACGCGGCATTGTTAATCTCTGAGCCACAACACCCGAAGCCAACACAAGCTTCACCTTCCTCGAAGATATTTCCGGGACATTGGGCGTCGCACTGATCGTCCGCGAGCTTATTCGAGGGAAGGCTGCTCAAACACAGACAGCGGTCAGAAATGGTAGCAGCGTAAGCAATGCCGTTGTCGACACAGTAATCTATACAGACGGAATTCGCATTCTGGGGATCGTTTCTGCTCTCATCTGGGTTCACTCCAGTTATTTCAAAGCAGCCTTCGTGAACAATGAAATTTCCAAATCCATCCTTGCTTGAAGTCACGTGATGATCTGAATGGCGACCTTGAAAAGAGAAAATACTAAAAAATAGTTCGATAGTTTCTGACCAAGTTTTCATAAACATTTTGCTTGTTTTAAGTTCTGTCGGCACGTCACATTTCAGGACAGTCACTGAGTTTAAATACATTATTTAACTTTGTAGCTTTTTTAGCCGTCTTCACTAAATGACAAATTGGCCACGTCAATCCAACTTGAAACTTGTACCTTGCAAGTTCATTTTGCGGTTTTTATGCAGTTTCTTTTTCAATATTTTCAGCTAGAATCAAACGAAAAAGTCTTTCACAATAAAATTCAGTCGCATTCACATGCTATTAGAAGTAAGTCAGTCTGCGGACAAAGGTGAACAGTGCGAACCTGTGTTTTGTAACCTTCATGCCAACATTTATGTTCTACTTGGCCGTAAACATAAAGAAAAAGTAGTTTTTTAGTCCATGAGCTTGCATAAATTCACATTTTTCTTCGCGTGCTAACACCAGAATAGTTACAATGTTCTAGATCAGCGCCAATATTGAAATCACAACACACAAGACACAATTACACTTGAAACAAAGTGTTGCACAAATTATATGTGAATCAGATTTTTCTAGAGATGTGTACCTTTCTTTCCATGTACAACATTTGCACAGCTTGTTAACAACCAAAAGGTAATAAACGCTATTCTAGGAAACTGTAACGACGCCATCGCGATGTTCAGACTGCAAGCTAAAGACTTTGATCTCTATACAGGACTGATTCGAATCGGTGAAACTAAATCAAAGTTGACCGACTGAAGAGGTTAGATATAAAGAGGGTTAATTTGTTGTCGCTGATAATTCATTCTTACCTTATTTTGTTACCAGCAAGTAATGCAACATAGATTTGAACAATTACTATAACCATGAATGGAAGCACAGGTTGTATTTTCCGTAATTGTCGTGAGATTGTCACAGGAATATTTTCCAAGCTAGATGCAATTGAACTTTTCCTGTCAACTTTTTTCATTGCGTTTCACAGGTTTTTTTAAATGCGGAAATGTCATTTTTTTTAAAAAATAAAGCTGTTTTGTTTGTGACACCAATGAAATTGTATGTAATCTCTAAGGCATATTCGATTTTGCGTAATTTGATATTTTCAAAAGGACTCATTTCATGGGGACAGCGTGGTCGCACGTCGGTCGAATTGTTAAGAACATGGTTTCATTAAGGGGTGTGAAAGAGAAACTGAGAAATCGAAGAGTCGATCAGAAATGATAGAAACTTAATTTATCCCACTCTGGACAAAGAAAGCATACTTCTTGAAATTTGCAGTGTGGTTCTGATCTGCCATCGAGAACAGTAAACTTCTGAAACTCATAAACATTTCATCAAGTTTCTGAACAAAAGAAATCATGACCGTGACGGTGTTTGGATATCTGATCTTAATTAGCAGAGAATTTTACGATTTTTCTCTGTTTTTTCCTTAGATTTAGTTTCGACTGAGAAGATATATCAAACACTCAAGACAATGTTTAACCACATTTCCAAACACCTCGAAGCTCGTCGAAAATACTTCGCTACACTTCGTATTTTCAACTCTCTTCTCGGTGTTTTAAAAATGTGGTCAAACACGGTCTTTCGTGTTTGATATATTACTAAAATAGTTTTGGATAATCGCGGCTTGCTCAATAGAGCATTTATATTTCTAAACGTTGTAATTCTCCCTTACATTATTAGAACTCTTGACCTGTTTTACCTTTTTTATCCAGGTTTCTGTGTGGCACTATCCTTATCGCCTGAATCAAAGTCATTGTATTGTTAGTCAGAGAACCACAGCAATCAATACCGTCACAAGAATCTTCTTCATTCGATCTAGAGTTAAGTCGAACAGGGTTTGGGCAGGTAGTTTTACACTGATCTACAGAAACGAGACCTGATGGACGATTGCTAAAGCAGAGGCATCGCTCGCCAATGGTAGCGGAATAGTTCTTTCCATCATTTTTGCAGAAGTCATTACAAACGTAATTGTTGTTCTGGGGATCATTTCTTTCTTTTTCTGGCGATCCGTTCAGCTCGAAGCAACCTTCGTATAAAAGAAACTGTTCCCAGAAATTATCAGGTAGGCGAACATCTGAAGAAGCCGAGTTTTCAGTTGACTTTAGGTTCTTCTCAGATGGATGACCTGGAAAGGGTACAAAGAAAGAAACGAAAAGCAATTTTACCTGTTGAAAAACGAATATAGACATGCAAATGTCTTAATTCAAATCAATTGACAAGACTAGTGCCCCATTCACACTAACTAAACTAGTTTAACTAAATCAGAATTAGAGTTTTCTAATTTGTTGATTACGCTTTGCAGTCATTTTGAAAAGACAAATTTTATCCCACCTGCTAACATATTTCAATCAAACAGGTTTTTACCGTGTTAAGTTGTAGGGCGTGCGCAGTATGAGCAACTAACTTTTAACCCTGTTTAGTTAAACAACTTTTAAACAAGTTTAACACGTTGGTGTGAATCGGGTATAGGTAAATTTTGAAATGACTTTCCTAAAAGTTTGTTGTTTCATACGAATCTGATTCTAACTTGCCTTGTTTCTCGTGATTAAATTAAACCTCCTAGTTTTAAATGTGACAAACTTCTCACATATTGCCTAGATTAACTACTATTTTATCAATTATGACCCTTGACTGGTAATATGGACTAGCTTCCTCGAGCTCAGTGGTCATAATTCTCCCCTTTTGAATTGTGAGACTTGAAAGGCGTTTGCCAAGTTAGTGTAAGCTGATTTACATATTTCACGCGAAAAAATGTTTTACACAGATCACAATATTGATAGGAAAAGGCAATTCAGATATGCCAACCTTCTTTTCCTTGAACAAAAGTCCTAGAAGCAAACAATATCCAAAAGCTGGCGCGTAATAGTATTTTAGCATGCCGGGAAACCATCTTGTGATCTTCTACTTCTTAGATTTTAGTGTGAAGCTGGCCAGAGATGACTGATAGCAATTGTTGCAGTGGAAAGTGTTCTGTGGGAAAAAGGCATTCATATCTTATTTGGCTACCAGCAAGCCATGCCACAAAGATGTGAACAATTACTATAAGGTTAAATAGAAAAAACAGGTTGTTTTTTACATAGATGTCACCCAGGGAATGCATCCTTGAGCTATCGGCTGACTGTTCCGTACATCTGTCACATTTTGTTATTGTATAGAGCAGGTCTCTTCTCCTTTCTTTCTTGAAAAGAAGCTGATATATATTGTATTTGTAAGCAATACAAACTATTCTGTGGAATCTCAACCGGGCAACAAACCGAAAAAAAAAGAAGAAACTTTGAACTGACTAACGGAACAAAAGTAAGCCGCGTTAATGTGTTCAAAAAGGCCATTGTTCTTTAAGAAGGTTGTAAAGTTACCGTAAAAATGGTTCATGCTATGTTGACCGGTCCTTGCTTTCAAGATAAGATGTTATAAGAATCTGGGCGTTCACATTTCTGCGGATTATACCATGCCAAGATATCTTTAACAGATCGAAACGAACACTTGCGTGTTTCATGTACGGTCCACCTTAATTCTACATAACATCTCATTTTTAATTGTACCTGTGGCTTTTTCAACGTGGTTCCACTCGCGTGAACCTGTATATTCCACGTGGATCCACGCGCGTGAACCCGTATGTCACAACCATATTTTTTTTCAACAAAATTTCTTCGAGAAGTTTGTTGATTTTTTTTTCCAGTTGCCCCCATTTCTTTTAAGTTTCCGCCTTCCCACGCGCGTTTCACGCATGTTGCGCCTTATTTTTGAGTAGCGTCTTGTTTGTCACTCCTCCCAGATTCCCAATGGCGTTTTTTTTGCGCGCGGATTCACGCGCATTAACCCATGTTTCACGAGTATTTTCTTGCAGACGTTCTTCAGCTCTTTTTGCACTAAATTTGACTGCCGCTCATACTGACGGTGCAGCTGCTGTATGAAAGGCTTAGGTGCATGTGAACAGGTGCCCTGGTAGGTTATAAGGTGGATAACATGTTGAAAGTATGGTCTTTTAAACAAGGTTAAAAGTTTTCTTGGAGTAATTTGAGTTTTTCTTTCCTTTTTTCCTTTCTTTTTTTTTGTTAATCTTGATTTTTGGCTATGTACATGTATATATAGCCATACATATTATTCATCATTCATGTTTCCCTGGTATGGCGCCACGGTGCTTTTGATAACCCCCATCTCCTGTTTTGTAATTTTCAATCACAAGGTTTGTAAGCAACATGGAGTAAATGTAATAAATCAAATCCAAATCGAGATCATGTGAGATATTTACCAGACTGTATGTAATTGCTTACTAGATTTGTGCCCACTGTAAGCCACTATCCTATAAGCTAGCTTGATCCTAATCACAAACATGCATTTAAGTTCCAAAAGCAACAAGCCCATCCCCCACCACCCAAAACCTGGCAAATGTAGAATTAAAATGAGGTAAAGACTTCATATGCACCTCCACAACATCATCCTACATAGTTCAGATTGTGATGGGGTATAGAAAGGGGGGGTGGGGGTGAGCATGTAAATGACTCGCGAAGTAGGCCTAGTAGGTAAAGTCTGCATGTGCGCCAAGTGTTCCATCACACCAGGTTTACACTAAAGATTGCGCGGAGCCCAAAGAATGTCTGCCTAGGGGGTTAGTCTTCACTATGATTGCACTGATTGGCACCACTACAAAAGTAAAGTAAAGTAAAACTTTATTTCAACAGGGTAGCCCATTCAGCTCAAAGGCTGGTATCCATAGGGACCCTGTGTGAATAACATCAGGTTAAAAATACAAATTTATGTACACATATTACAACTTCATAATTATACATTAAAAACTGAAACTATGTTAAAAATCTCATTACAGTACTAAAATACTAAGAGAAACCACTAAGAGCTATTACGATAATAAAAACCCTTTTGCACGGTGGCAGAAAGTCTGCATGTCTTCGGCTTTCATTATGTTGGTGGGCAGCTCATTAAAAATGTTTGTTCCCCTAAAAAGAAACATGTTTTTCCCAAAATTTGATTTCATCCTAGGTAAAAATAGCTACAGACCAGCTAACTATAAGCTTACACACTCTTAGTTTTAGTTCAAAGTCTTCAAATGTTCATCACTTCTGCTTTTCACATTCAACTACTATTAGAAAATTTAACAATTTCTTTGGGAGGCATGATCAACCTCGCCCCCAGGGCCTTCTTCTCGATGATTTTCAAAATAGCAGCTCGTCCGCCATTTTGAAAAGCGGAGAAAGCCTTGGGGACAAGGTCGAAGGCGTGACTTGCTTGCCCGCAGAAAATCCAGAAAGAGACTGGTAAACAGTCTAAAACTAAATGTGACGGAGGAGAGTTTTCAGTTGCTCTCACTTAGATTCCCCTTTTGAAATTTCAATCTTCTTTTTTCACAAACTCCACAAGACACACATCTAAGTCTTGTTGTTCGCCTGCCATCTCAAAAAGAAAGTTGTCTCTAGAATAGATTTTGTAACTCCATCCTGTTTCGCTCACCATTCTATCGAACAGCTCTTTGGAACCTAAACTGAAGGAGAAAGTAACAAAGATCCTTCCTGTTTTCTTAAGAAAGTTCTTTGCTTCCGAAAGATAACGGTGAAAGCTCTGGTGCCCTGGATCAAGTAGACTGCGCATGAGTAGATCTAGATCGATCCCAGGCTCCGTGCGTTGACCAGCCCAAGGAAGGTTCCAGTAGATCATGTTGAATTTTTTTCCAGCGAATATTTTGTTGTTGAACACGTCAGCAGTCACAGCATTCACTTGAGCGTCGACCCCGTGCATTTTTGCATTTTCTATGGTGTTTTCCACAGCAGTTTCATTGATATCTGAAGCCCAGACATGACACTTCTGTGAAGATAAAGCTGCCAGAATTGAAGCATACCCTGCTCCACAGCCAACTTCCAGGAAATCAAAAGATTCTTCTTCACCTTTCTTTGCCACCTCTCCTTTAACAACTTCAAGGACCCCTCTGTTTATAAACTGTGCGATGTCAAACCAAGTGTCTGGGTGGAAAACCTCTGGGTAAATCAGAAAGTCCTTTCCCAGCACACTTGCAAGCGGCCTGTTTGCAACCAATGTCCGCATCTCATCTATCACTGCCATATACTCTTCGACTTCATTGGATGCGCTCATACTATAAAAAGACCAGCGAGAGGCAAATTGGCAACCTTGTTCCCAGGCTCTTTCCTTTGCCTCCCTCTTCGTTGAGGAGGCCAAGGAGAGCCTGGGATCGAGTTTGGCAAATTATTTAGTTTCTTCCGTTAAACCTTGTTACTGTTGTCAACAAGAAAACACTATCTTTTCTCCATTCCTGTCTATTCTCCATGCAGAATATAAAATGTTCACCTTCATCTCCTCTCTGTTAACAATAAACCAATTTCGATATATTAAAATTGAGTCTAACACAATAGACCTCAGCACGAGGCTCTGGGAAATAAACCCTACAAACTCTAAACCTAACGAATTAAAATTAAAAGAACTGATGGACCGGCAAAATAGACCAATTTCAATATATTTAAATTCAGCCTGAAACAACAGACCTCAGCACGAAGCTCTGGGGAATAACTAGAGTTTGTAGGGTTTATTCCTCAGAGCCTCGTGCTGAGGTCTATTGTTTCAGGCTGAATTTTAATATATCGAAATTGGCCTACTTTGTCCGTCCATCAGTTCTTTGAATTTTAATTCCTTAGGCTGAAATTCATCAATTGTGGAAACACGTGCCTCAAATATTTTCTATATCAAGGTATACATACATCTGGAAAGAACTTGTTTTCTTCAATTTCTTTAGCTGCACATGATGATCGCGCGGCGATGGCGGTTGCGGGGGGGGGGTGATCGGGTACTCTCTTATATTGGCTAGATAGGTATGTGCAGCCCCAATGGGTATGGCGTTTTAGCCGTTTTAGTCTTACAGTCAAACCAACTGAAGCGTACTCCTCAAGATTACATTAATGAATTGATTATTTGAACCCGCTAGTATTTTCAGAGAATGCAATAATGAATTGACTGTGCATATTAAACTCGCTAGTAATTTCAAAAATCGATAGTAAATTGACTTAGCCGTATTCTTGGAACGACTAGTGGATCCAATTTTCCAATAATCAATTCATTATTGCATTCTTGAAACGACTAGGGGGTTCAAAATTCAATTCATCAATTCATCAATGTAATCTTGAGGGGTACGCTTCACTTGGTTTGACTGTAATGGGGTATCGATTTTAGCCATTTTGATTTGAAATAGGGTATGGTTTGTTAGTAAAATGAGGTTAACAGGCCTACATGACTCCTGTAGATCTTGATATTTGTAACTTTTCTGTTTTCTTTTGAGTTTTGGGCTCTGGATCCGAGGAAGGGGTACTAGAAATAAAGAAATATATTGAATTAATAGGCGCCGTGTAGCAGGGAACTTCGTTCAAATTCCTCCGGCGTAGTGTGGACGGAGCGTCAAGTTGTGGCTTTGGTGTGGAGGCCATTGGCGGTTAAGGAAGTTCTCTTTGACAATAACGTCGATAAACAACTATACGTCGTATACGTCGTGATGAATGAAACAAAACCTCCGAGCCAAACAAGACGACCATGGCTTGTTCGAACAAGATAACGAGTCTTAACACACCGAGTTACGTACCCCGCCGATGGCAAATGGCAAGATTTGGAGTCACGGCACAAATTTACCGATTCTACGAGTCAAAGAATTAGTAAGGTCATATCCCAAAAATCTTTACGTATAATTTACTCTCTAGAAGTCAACATCTCATGCACATCGAAGCACAAAGCAGTTACCACATTCCCCATCACAGCCTTTAGCCTGCTGCCACACAACAGATCGAACGTACTCCCTAATCTACAATCACTCCTGTTTAAATTGTGAATTACTTAAATTCTAACTTACCTCGGATAACTAATACTCTTTTTTAAAAGATTCCTGTTGATACGGTATTGCGAACTTCTACACTTCAATACTCTCGACGTTAAATCTCTTGTAGCCTGCTTGTTCTCTACGCGGCCGTTTAAATAAGTGGTGGAGACAAATTACATGCAATATTCCTTATCCGAGTGTCACGCATTCTTAGGCTTTGCTTCGACTGCTTGGAATAATAAGCGTGACTGCCATATCACCCGATCTGCATTATTTGCGTGACAACAATTCTCGTGTAATGGATCTTTTTACCAATGTCACGCTTTTCCGAATTTTTTTTTTTTTCATTAAAACAAAAAATAAACTGCACCGCTTAATTTATCATACCAAATTGAGTAAATATGTGGTTTAATTAGAATCCTTTGCAAACTCATAATGATATGGGACCTTGCAAATTTATAGCGGGGTAGCGCATGCCCCCCTCGTATTCATTTCCTTGTAAGTTTGGGGTGAGACGTCTGGCAGGGTCAATAACAATAAATATCAAAAAACACTGAACTAGCGTTAAACAAACGTTCATTTAACAATAATTATATTGCAGCAATCAAAATCTATTTTTTTGTAACATCATTTATTAACAAGTTATCTGAGTTTGACACAAAACTAATACTGATTTCTATTTTTATCCTGGCTGTTAAATTATTCACTGCTTATTCCATCAATCCCACTCAAAAACATGAAAAAGTCAGCACTAGTAATAAAAAAAGTATTACACTGAATTTGTAACTGTACTACAAGTGCATACGCTTGTTTGTGTACATGACACGAAATTTTAATTTAGTTTATGGTTTTTGGTTCTTTGAAACAAGCAATAAGTAATAATTATAGAAGAAAACTGGTTTCAAAATGACGAAAATATTTTTCTTGTTACTTTATGCCGCCTGGAACTGACTAGTTTTTTCTTGTAAATTTGCCCCCAGAGACTGGGAACGAAAATGCCCGCAGTGCAACTACGCGGCTCAAAACTTTGAGTCATTCAAACTCGTTACCAGGGTCCTCTCACTTCCTCCCTCAAGAGAAGAGAGAGCACCGTGGAAACGAGGTTGTCATTATACTCATTTAAGCGTTATTTCTCGTTTACGATGACCAGCGACTCAGAGGACATAGCGATTTCATCATTTCATATTACGAAAAGAGCCTATCAAAGAACCAAAAACTGAAGGGAAAAAAAAAAAAAAACTCGTGTAACATGTGATTTAGCAGTGACAATTTGATGTCGCAAACCTGAGGGAAATTAACGCGAATAATCAGCTAACCAAAGCTAGGAAGCGTAACATGGCGGTCTTGAAATTCAACTACGGTCTTGTATATCAACTACTTTCAACTACTAAACGTACTTTACAGCTAAACGACTGGCCCCCTGTCCTACAACCTTACAAGATAAAAGTTTAATGAGCTTAATCAGGGCAGCGCATAAGTTTCATATATAAGCTAACAAACCTATGCCTCCTCAAAAATCACTGTTTAAGAAGACAAAGCTTAAAATTCAATTTTAATGCTTGTTTCACAAGCTTTACGAGTCAAAACTATACAATTATCTTTTAAACGATTTTACAATGAGGTCACCCGAACCCAGAACACCCGACACATTATTGTACATTTTTTTAGTGAAAATAGAATGAGAGCTGTTCATATAAACAAGATACAATGTACATCATATGAAGAGCCTTCATTCTATCATCACATATCATCATCAATCTTTATCGCGCCACGGGACGCACAAGGCCGTTAGGGTCTCTCCCCAGTAGGAGTGGTCTCGTGCCACTTTCCGCATTTCATTCCAGGTCAGGTGCATGGCTTTCCGCTGACCTTCCCTAAGTTATTCTTGGCCTCTCCCGTTGTCTTTTCCCGTCTGGGGTTCAAATGGACTTGGCTCCCAGAAGAGAGGGTATTGAATCAGACTTCCTATAGGTTTTGGTCAGCAAGCGTCATGCCACATTCCCTAGAATGGTCCGCAATCTGGTGACTCACCACATCCCACTGTTAAGTTTCTGTTTTGGTGTCTGTAGTCAGAGATTAGGGAGCTTTAGCAAACAACGACGGCGACGCCAACAAGAAGGTCACCAAACAAAAGGTTTAATGAGCGAAACAATGGCTATCCGCGCGCGTTTTGAATCTTGGTACATTTCTTACCCGTCACTGAAAAATAACGTGAAACAACCCAGTTACACGTATTTTGGAGAACCTGAAACGCAACGGCTCATTTTTCGTATCTTCTTTTGGAATTGAACCCTGTCATAACAGTTGCCACATTCGAAAGTAAAATACAAAACAAGTTTTTTACAAAGCGTCGTCCTCGGCGTCACCGTCATTACTAAATCTCCCTAGTTGAGTCTGAGTGGGTGACTAGCCCTCTACAGACTTGCCATAGCCCCTATTTGCCAGCTTGTTCAGGGTTCCTGCCAGGTCTTAAAGGAGCTCAGTCACGGTTTGCGCATCTTGAAAAGTTTAGCCTCAAGTTTTCAAAATCGTCGTTTGTAATCCGTGTTAATCTTCTCCATCCTTAGCCATCCTTGTTCCTTTATGGTTTATCATTATGCCTTTGGTGTTTTTCTATCTTATTAAACTGTTATTTTCAGGTTTCCTGCCATTTAAAGGTAGTTTTGTATGTGACCAAAATAACTCAAAATACCGTGACTGAGCTCCTTTAACAGCTAACTTAGCAGGTCTGGGACCTATGTCCCACTGCACTTCACCCTGACAGGTACTCCTCTACTCCACTGTTGCCCGCCTCCCACGAAAGAGGACGTTAGGCGTTGGTCTTTGGGTGGCATTGTTTATGTAGTCATCAAAACATTTATACATTTATACATACTGTTTTATAATAAATATCTATATTTTAAAGTTTAACTATATAGTGTCTCTCCCTCATACATCTTCGGTATCAAACTCTAACATAAATCTCCCTCTGAATAAGAACATGTGGTCTACAAAATGTTTACTTCAGCAGTTCTCTGGGATATACCTCCCATAAGGTAGGGAGGGGAGAAGGGGTGGGAGACAGGGGTCTAAGCTTACCACTTCGCAATCATTCAACTGTCAGTGCCCACCTCTTCCTTACTGGCTCCCACCTCTGTGTGCTTTTTCTATGACAAGGTATCACGTCCCATACCCCTCCCATCTCCTATTCTCTTAGGCCTCTGTCCCTGTACTAAACATACATAAAAAAAAGTCTGAATCAGGCCCATAGAGCCAGTGCTTATCCTTGTTTCTGTAGCATGAAGTGACTAGGATTATTTCTACTCCCCCCTGGATGGGATACTAGTCCAGGGTTACCCCCCCCCACCCCCCCGTCATTAATTCCTCAGACCCATATAGACCTTTACACACCTGGAAGGCACTGTGAGAGTTAAGTGTCTTGCCCAAGAACACAATGCAATGAGCCCAGTCAGGGCTTGCTCTGGAGTCCAGCATGCTAAGCAGGACGCCACACCTCCCACAAACACAAATATATTTACAATTTTTTTTTTTTTGAAAAGTAGCTCTGTAATGATATAAATTAGTGTGCTAATAAAGTTGTGTCCGATAGCCTGTAGCTAGTAGATTGTGTTACGACTCTTGTCCTTTGCTTGCCTGATGGCTAAGTTAAGCTTTTTGAGGAATTTCAAATTAATTCTGTGAGAGATTTTATTGCATTGATCTAGTTTTAAATTATTTAATTAATCATGCTAGTGAAAAAATGTGGAGCTAGTGAGAATACTTTTCAGGCTTGTACATCTTAGTTACCACCTACCCAAAGGGCAAGCTTGAAATTGGTTTTCTGATAAATTGTCTAATTTCTTGACTACAAAAAAACTATCCTTCACTTTAAATATATAAAAAAATAATAATAATAAGTAAGTTACTAAGCTAGAAAAGAAAAAGTATGAAATAGGAACAAAGGTAGTTAGATTGGGGAAGATTGACAAGGATTCCAATAATAATAATAACAATAATAATAATCACAGGGCTAAAAATTAACTTCAGTACTTGGTCGCCACTCGGGCCAGTATCCCTGAACTCCTAGTGGCCCAGGCCAAAATGAAGTGGCCCTCAAATTTTCTCGTACAGTCGGTTACTCTCCAGAACATCGTCCTTGCTTTTGGCTTTTTTCGGCAGCGGCTGTTCACATCCAGAGAGGTATTTCCACATTTTGTATTCCAAACTCGAGCAGTTTGCTGATATCGTGTTTCCAAATGTACCGCACAGACCTCTGGGTAAGTCTGGAGTCACGTGTCAATAAAATCAAAATGGCGTCTACATATCGGAGTGATCTAAAAACT